GAGAGAAGTTCAGTGACATACACACTCACAGAAGAATTATATATATAAAGATATGTTTAATAAAAATACCGATAGCGCGGTAAAAAATTGTAAATAAAGTGAAAAGATAGGAACAAGTAGACGAAGGATTATACATAGTATTAGGCAGTCGGAAACATACATGTTTGACAGTCTTGCTGTGTGTGAACATTGTACGCATTACTCTCCTTTATGCTTCGCCGCAGTCGGGTTAAATGCAAATAGTGGAACCCCAAGTAGTTGTAGGTAATACTTTATTATAACGAACAATATGACAATAGAGCATCAGAATTTACGTCAATTTAAGTAATTATTTTGGGACCTTTAAAGCGTCTGCAAAGCAATACGGCCGACGGAAAGTGTCTGGGAGTACTGACGACTTATTTTTAACGATATTGTCTAAAATATACGTGAAAATCAGCTTGTAGAATTTACTTGAGGTACCTAAGTAATGTTTTTAGGTACCTTGATTACCTGATACCTGGAAATTGGCCGTCTAACCAGGCTAGCAGCTAGGCACGCGATCTTAGTACATACTTACACAACCCAATCGTCCACATTTCGTTCGTCAGAAAATATTTGATTATATTTCGTCAATGGGGGAATGCGGTTACCATTCCACGCCGACATGACTTATATAGTACCTAATAACTAAAGTGTACATTTGTTTTGTAACGAAAACATTCAATCATTACTCATTCAATTCAGTGAGTTATTCATTTCCCTTTTAAATGAAATTAAAATTCTTTGCATTATTTATAAAAAATCTAATTATGATTTAAATACATAATATGTATGTTCATGTTCGTATTGGAACAATTAATCGATAAATATTGAACACCTATTATTAAAATGTAGCAAACGGCAAACTTCCCACGTGACTCAATACTTCATTGTTCTTATAAAATGCGTTGTTTATATAAACATTCCGTTAACTCGTCTTTTTTTGTGTCAGGCATAGATTATAACAAAACACTGTTGTTTTTAAAGACTTTACACAAACAAAATTACATATTCGTAATTTTTTTCAGCTCGTAAACAATGAGTCAATGCCCAACATTTGTCTGTGCTTGCCGATAGAGTTAAAACTATTTAAAATATTTCCAAAAAACCCAAAGCTATATTTAGATAGTAAGAATGTAGTATAACATATTATGTTGATATGTTATTTTTGCAATTTGCATTGTCATAGCTATTGTCGTGATAATCTGCTTTCGTATCACATAATTATTCCATGTATCCGTTCACCTTGAAGCAATTTTAACATAAAAGAACTCTTTAAAATCTGGTGTTTGACATATTTAGTATACAATTTCTAGGCTATAATTATCTATATAGATAATAAAAATGAAGTGTCTGTTTGTAATGTCAAAATAACAACTTTTTACTAAATGCATATGAAATTATATACATTACCTACTTATAAGAAAAACACTTTTTTTTAATTTTTGTCTGTCTGTTGGTTCCGGCTAACCTCCGCAATGGCTGGACTGATTTTGACGGGACTTTCACTGGAAGATAACTGATGTTATAGGGAGTAGCATAGGCTACCTTTATTTTAGAAAAAGAATTAGAGTTCCTCTCAAAAAAATTAAAACGTACGATAGGGACGAACCCGAGAGAAGCGAGAATTAGTCGCTATTTAAAAATAATATCGGACGCCAAATATCGAATTTCTTTGTTATGTTAGTTTTTCAAATCAGAAAAAAGAAAATCTCCAGAACTTTATTGCCTGATAGGCACTACACATGGCTCCGCTCGAGTGGAAAGCGGGGCATAGATGAAGTTAGTCTATCTCCGTCGCCAAGATGCAATCTATGACCTTGCCAAGTTTCATAGAATTTAGTACAGCCTTTAATCTACGGCCGGGCTGTTATCAGTGGCGTATTTAAATAAAGAATACATAACGTTTTTATTTTCTAACTAAATGTTCTAAATAAACAATGACTAGACTACATAGATATTTTTTTTACAAAATTGGATATTTTAAACTGAATGATGTGATATTTGAAACTTATATTTGATATGTCCCTTAACTTGGAATAAAACTCTAGGAAAAATACCTTTTACTGAAATATTTATTTTTATGTGTTTTGATAAATAAATATTAAAAGACAAATAATTCGAATTAGAAGTAGGTAAATAGTGTTTAAAATGTTGTAGCGTGTTAAATTTACATAAAAAGAAAAAACCTACGAAAGAAATATCTAATTCATCTCAAAATAAACTGTCGGAAATATTTCTATTTACACTCCTAGGTATTATTATTTCATTAAAATCCTACCTCTATTTGTTACCTTGACTCTTGACTTTTGAACGACAATTTACGCATTCTGGAATGTTTTTACCGATATATGAAAAGTATTTTACGAAAATAAAAAGAACCAATTAAACAATTTAAACAAAAAAAATAATTAATATAACTGATTATGCTACACTACATTCACACTAAATACTTTTTTCAAATCTAATCTTAAAAAATCTAATTTTAAAAATAAACCTATAAGTATACACACAAAATAGAAGTCAAAAATTGTGTAAATGTTATAGGTATATATTTTTTAATAAATCAAAAATAAAGTTACCTTTTCTTTGAAGAAGCCACGACTTGACAGTAGGCATTTTAACTACGTTTGAACTACAATTCATGTAACTACACTATAAATACTCCACTTTAGACGTGTCTCAGTTAAAATATACAGAAAAAACAGGCATGAAAAATCAATTAAAGCTGAAAGATCTGGTAAATAATAAAAAACATCAAAATCCCTGATAATATTAGACGTGCATAAACGTCGAATTATAGACTGATTTGACCGCAACGTGGCTCAAAACTTGAATTAATTTCAAAATCAAAAAATAATAAATTATTAATTATATATGTATTAACGCATGTTATTGACTTCCCCCACTCAGGAATTCACTACGAATCACATGGTTAATGAAAATGAATATAGCTTTCTCACTCACTCCCTTGGACCCATAAAGAAAAAAAGAGCAAGCAAATATTGTATACGCATTGTCGAGTTTATAATACAAATTGGCATATAATTTAAACCAATTAAAAAGATGATTGTTTAAGTAATGATCTTAATTTAAATAGTAATAAAATAAGAATAAAATTTAAATTTTGTTCTATTTTAAGTAATTAAAAATATTTGTAAACATACCTCTGTTGGAGTAGATTTAGTCAAAATTGTATCATTTTGGTCTTCACGTATTAAATTTAATATAACTACGTTATATAGCAAAATTAAATTAAAAAGTTTAATTTAAAAAGATTACGTCGATATCACCATATAACCGGTAACTCTAACTAGGATTATTTGTATTCCCCAGTCCCTGACCGATTGATGATCGACTCCACAGATTTCTATTCCATCTCGCCATACAGATTATAAATTCGTTTTAATTTTCTGTAGCCAAACAAAAAGTAGTATCCCTTCTCGAATACGTAACTGAAGTCAAAAATGAAATAAATAACGTCGTGTATTTCTTTCCAAGCGTGAGTGCTAAAAAATAACTATTCCAGGAAATATTGTATAAATGGGAATTCCAATAAGTATTCGCGTAAAGCGTTAGATGGAGGAATAGCTCCTGCCCACTTTTTTATCCACAGTATTGTTTGCGAAGCTCAAAATCACGATTCTTTTCTTTTATTTTTCATAAGCACAAAAAAAAAATATTATAAGTCCTGAATATATATATATATATATATATATATATATAGTTTTTGTACATTGTTATTTTCAAAATCTTTAAATTATCAGTTTAATAAATAATCATGATGTTTTTCTTTATCTGCTGTTGTATCTACCGATGGGAAATAATTTTGCCTTTTTTTCCGCCAGATGGCGTGATCACTATAGCCCTCATTATATTGTAAAGCTCTATAGCGTGGATGGATTTTTTTTATTTTATTTAAAATTTAATTGAAATGACAAATTATCAATACTAGGATGCAAAGAAAATGGATATTATTTGTTCCTAAAAGATAAGAACAGAAGAAATTTTGGGCTAAAGCAACAAGACGACCAAAATTAGCGAAATCACAATTTTTATATTTAAGGCATTTTACATAATTTGATTATAAAACACTATCGTCTACAAGTGAATATTTTTTTCATTTTTTGTATTTTTTATATAATAATTACAGAGTTTCATACAAACTTTCATCCCCTAATTTATCCCTTTATGGGAATCAATTTCAAGAAATGCTAAAACACGTATTAATTCAATTGTATTTAAGAGCATTAATACCAAGCTTCAAGTAATTCTATTTATAAATAATTCTTAGCCCATATAAACTTAATACCATACCCATATAAAATTACCCCTTTAAGAAATGAATTTTGTAAAAAATCTAATAAATATATTTCTTATTTTTTATCTTAATGCTAAACACTACTTTCTGTGTATGAAACTCTGTCATTCTTAATGTGAACATTAAGAATGACAGAGTTTCATACAATCTTTAATCGCCTATTTTACTCAACTAGGGGATGAACTTTGAAAAATTCTTTCTTATCGGATGCCTACATCATATAGGGAATACGTCCTCCGAACTTCATATTTTTACGACCAGCCGTTTAGACCTTGTATTGATCTGAACAACAACAGAATACACCTCTCCTTCTCAATTCTTCCTTCATCTGGTCTAACTTCCAGGTACAACACATTGTACAGGTAGGATACGAACACAGTAGAAACAAAAAACCAGGTATAAACGAGATATCACAATAAATTGCATAACCTCAGACTGAACGTAAATAGGCCATACGTGTGGCGCCTTCCTTTCGAGAAATCTTCCCATTTCGTTTGTTTTCTTTCTAGTATTTTCTATTTTAAAATTATCTGTGGTTTTTGTCAATATTGACGAGTAAAATTATATTTTGTTGCGCAATAAAAAAAGTCAATACATCAAATAGCCGAAAGAAAATACTGGCCGAATCATATAATAAAATCTCTGTGTGTACTTCGAGATGTCCAACAATAATTTTATGGAACGAATACGATCGTTCTTTGGATTACGACCCGAACCACCCAGGAATGATTTTCGCAATCCTATATGGGGATCAGACGACGATGACGATGGGGATGAACTTTATACAAGACAACAATTAGATATATACAAAGACCCGTTGGAACTACAACAAGAATTCGCTAAACATATGCAAGAAATATTCATGAACTTTGGCAGTATATTCGGTGACATGAAATCCTTTTTCGGTAAAGATTTCGATTCTATTGGAACTATTACAGAGTTCCCCACATCGAACCATGAACCTGAGACTTTTGATAGCAATCGTATAAGGGATTATTATTTAAAACCTGGATATCATGATTCTTGTAATAACTCAAAGCAAGATATGGACTTGGATGGTAAAATCTCTTCTCAAGACATATCAGGGTTATTAAAACAAAAAGAAGACGGTCAAATTGTACCAGGTACTCCATTTAGTGGCACAATCATTCCTGGTAGACCTTTTTGCCAAACTATTATTACAACAAGTGTAACAAAACCTGATGGCACAGTAGAAACACGAAGAATTGTTAAAAATGGAAATGAAGTTATCGAAGAGACAACTACATCTGTGCAACCAGATAGAATTCCTTACTTCCCTTACCTCCCGTACCCTAGTCCCACTGACACAACTAATATGATGCTCTCACAACTCGGTTCTTTTCTAAGAAACTTTTACTAACATCAATTTCATAAACATTAGCATTTTAAGATCATAATTTATGTTAACTTGATGTGATAGTTAGTTATAAATCAATGTAATTTTACCCCATTTCATATTTCATATTATAATTTAATTAATTCCTGGGCCATAACTAAAAAAGCGCAAGTTATTTTATATAAGACTGTACATTCTTCAAAAAAAATCAACTTTTTCAACACTATTTAAACTATTTTAATATTTAAAAAGTATGAGAATAAATTTGATCACAGCATTGACTTAGAAATGTTTATTCTTATAAGTAATAAAATCTTAAGTAATATTATTTCCCTCACATGCTACTTGTGTAGAACCTATATTGAAAATAAATTGATATTTCATGATTCTCCAGTAATTTGAATAAGGGATGACATAAAAATTCACTTATGTCTACCGCTATGGAAATTTTAGAAGGAGACAACTATGCAATTTTGTGTATTATATAATTATTTATTGAAAATAATGCCATTGTAGAAATAAATATTGTGAATGCATATTTTGGGTTTTTATTTAAATCTAGAAACTCTGCTGCTATCGAGCAATTAATGCATAGCCAGACATGAATTTTTCAATAACAAAAAACTGTATTACACACAATTTTGAATATAATATTAAGATCTTATTGCTTATATCTTTTTTAGGAGGTATCTAGTATAGTGGCAGCCTGCAGCATGTCAATTTTCTAAAGTGTTTCTGTGTTTTCTTAGTCCTTTGTAAAGTAAACATAATATACATATAATCTACGAGTATACATACGTATAATAAAATTGTAACTAAGCCAAATCTGCTATTAAATATTTTTGGAAAATTTTATTGAAATTGACATTGTTATCGATATAGAGGTCGGATCTATAGTTTTTAGAATTTTTTTCTATCTGTCTGTCTGTGACCGCATCACAGAAAAACCACTAGAGGGATTTTTAATGAAATTTGGTATGATGATAGCTGGTTATCCAGGCACACATATAAATTTTACTTAAACTTTTTACTGCGGGAAAATATGTCATCTCTGAGAAATCTATAATATAATTACTAAAAAATATCTATTACTTGGTGATATAAATGATAAAAAAATAATTGCTTTAAAAATATATGTACGTATTTTTCTTAATTATTACAAATCTTTTTAACAAACTTCTCTGATCAATAAATAGTTAAATAAGTATAAATAAATGTCTAAATCTATTGGCAGTAGCAGGCGTCCCGAGTGTTGCTCTTGATCCACGTGAGATAGCGGTTGACTCGAGCGTACACGCCGGGCCTGTCGGGTCGTGCACATCCTTCTCCCCATGAAACTATACCTAAAATAGAGAATATTTTCGATAATATCTTCACATTATATCATTTGACTATAAGTATAGGTATAATTATTTCTAAACTTTACTCTTTCATTTTAACATTTCTAATTACTTATTGACGACACGTTTGGTTCAGTTCGAGTCCCGCGTGGAGCATTCATTTGTGTGATGAGCACGAATGTTTGTACTAAAGTCATGGATGCTTATATTTGTAATTATTAACTATCTGGTATCCATAACACAAGCATCGTAGCTTACCATGGAACTAGATGGTACTGTGTGTTAATGTTCCGACATATTTATTTATGTATGTAAAATGTATACATATGGACGTATGCATTTGATCATTATAATTTATATTTTTTAATTGTCAATAATATAGCCGCAAGTACAAAATATAGGTAGTTTCTCAAAAAAATATATATAATAAATATTTATATTATAATAATTATTTTTCATCAGCCTGAATAAAATACACACTTTTAATTAGATTAATTGTTCCACTGGAAGCCTACTACTTAAAAAAATACATACCAACAAGTTGGTATTTTTCAGTTTTTGTATTCAATACATTTAGAGGTCCACCCGAGTCTCCCTGGCACGCGTCGTGGCCGCCTTCGTTCTCGCCCGCGCAAAGCATGTTCTCTGTAATGCGTTGTTTGTAGGCTGTTTCACGACACTCGGCGTTAGATATTATGGGTACGCTTACCTTGGATAACAAAAAGTTTTTATATATTAATATAATCTATTAATTTACGTATTTCTCTTTTCGTTATTATTAAGCGTCTCTAAAACTCTTATCAAAGCTTCCCAAGAGCACGCCTGAATATTGTACATGTTACCGGCCAAACCCGATTTCAGGCGAAACTAATTTATCCTGAGCTAAACTAGTAGGTATATCCTGACACACTTAGATGAATCGGTTTGGCCTAGGACATACTAGTTTGGCCTGAAATCGGGTCTGGACGGTAACATATTATATGTATGTATGTATATATTTATCGTGATATTTCATATTACTTAACTATAGTATTTTCAACATATATATATTATTATATGACCTAGTAGCTTTAAAAGAAACAATGTAAACCAACACAGTCATTCAGTGTGTTAAAAACCTAAGTGCGGGTTTTTTAACAATTGTAATCGAGCACACAATTCACTTCCATCGGTTTCTTTGAACTGGCAATGCAATTAAAATTTATAACTTTCAAATTATGGTAGTCCTGGCTCATTATCTTAATTGTAGTTTAAGTTATATAAAATGTATTAAAACCTCTCGCAAAACATTAGACACACTGCCACCCTCTTCTGTGGTACCCCAACCAGCCACTACAGCAGTATGGTTGTTATATGACAGTCCGGCCGTAGGCAAACACACTGGACGAACTCCGACATCCTTTTCGTTTTCTGTTTCATAATCTCGAACTCTCTTCTTTAAAGCTGTACTGAAGTCTATCTGAAAATCAAAAAGAATAATATTGAAATCGGTTTTTTGTTTATTTTTGTCTATTTTTTGTTGGGACAGACATAGGATAGTTTTTATCCCAGAAATCATTCCTTAAGGGGGTGAAAAGGGTTGAAGTTTGTGTAGGGAATCCATCATTTCTAAAGTAAGGGATAATTTTTTTTAATTTTTAAAGCACTAACCCACTTTATATATGTATATACACATATAGTCTATCTATTCCATACTAACCGTTAAACGTACCTAGGGACGAACCCGATCAAAGCAAAGGTGAGTAACTATAAAATGTAAAATAATATAAAAAACATTCAAACAAAAAAATTACCCTCTCAGCCAACTTAAGAATTGCAATATCGTTGTCATATGTGCCGGGATTGTAGCGCTGATGACGAATTATACTGGATACTTTCCTATCAATGGTCTTTGTCTCGTTGTCGGTGGATCTATCATGCTCTAGGAAGCGGACAGTCATTTTTTCTTTTCGGAATCTGTAAAATTATATAATAAGGACTGTAGTATAACAACATTTTGTAACACTCTCAATTAATGTTAATACGTATAGATAAGGTTATTTTTTTTATTTTCTAAAAAAAATACAATAAAGATAAACAATAATATTTATTTATATTATACTTTACTAGGTTTTTTTAATGTTCACTAGAAAAGAGCGCGGTGTATAATTCGAATTTTCTTCATAGGTATTTGATCCGTAAGATGTTGATCAGTCAAGAATTCTCATTCTTCTGATCAACATACGTATACACTAGCATTGCCCGCGACTCCGCCCGTGTTCAGATGACCAAAAACCAAATTCTTAGGTTTTACATATTAATATACTCTTACATTATAGTTTTTGTGTTTTTTCTCAAAAGTGAGATATTTTCCCGAGGTAACAAGTATCCTATATGTTGACCCGGGTAACCAGCTATCACCATACCAAATTTCATCAAAATCCCTCCAGTGTTTTTTCTGTGATGCGGTAACAGACAGACATACAGACAAAAAACCTAAAAACTACAGATATGGCCTCTCTATCGATGATAATGTTTATTTCAATAAGATTTTCCAAAAAATATCTAATGTACAGATTCGGCTTAGTTACAATTTTATTATATGTATAGATTATTTATATGATGTGAAACGAGACTTTAATCATTTTTTGAAAATAATTATTGAGTTTCCAATATTTCGGCACTGTTGTAATCGCTACATAAATCGCTACACGTTTATAAAATAAATCCTCATCAATCATCGTCAAAATAAGTAATAAAATACCCCATTTAAAGCTATAACACTTTTATCGTCTAATAATTTAAAAAGAGTAGCTGTATCTAAAACGGTATAAGTTAAATCATCAAATCAATCAAGTCATCTCAAAAGGAGTCTTAATGAAAATGAAAAAAAAATCAAAGTAAGGAAATACACGTTAGACATAAGTGTATTTCCTTACTTTGATTTTTAAAGTAAAATATAAAATTTACCCGGAAGTACAATGCGCTGCAGTAAGAACGTATAAGTCATTAATCACAGATCCACCGCAATAGAATCTTCCGTTGTACAACAAGACAACTATCCACGGGATCTCCAGCTTCTTAGTTTCGTAGCCCCCTACAATCCGCCTGCGTGTTCTAGCGATGCCGCATTCTAGAATAAAATAGATTGGATAAACTATAGAAAACATTTTCAATATGATAAGTAATCATTGATTACTACTTGGAGGAAAATATCGTGAGAAAAACTACATGTCTGTCAGTACCTAACAAGTTTTCAAAACATGCGAAGTCCGCCATCGCGTTACTTGGCCGGCGTGGTGTATTGCGGCCTGACTGGCCCTTGTATTAAAGGGTTGCGTTCAGCAGTGAGACGTTAAAAAGGATTGAATGCATACATAAGGATATTTTATGCTTATACCAGTGCCGGATTATAAATTAGGCAATTTGGACATGTATTCTAATTTGGATTAAAAAATAAAAGTAGTTTTGACTCATGTTATATCGATCAATTAAAAAAGTTTAACTACTAAAACTACCCGATGTTCTTTTAGTAGCCTATATTGGTTGATATCTCAAGGATTCTAAACACATATGGAGAGAAAAACAGTTTCATATTTATAAAATAAATTAGGAATTGTCTGAATTCAACGATCTTAAAGGATTTCCTCAAAATATTTCTAAAATAATTTAATTTTTTAATACTAACGGCACGTAGGACATTCCTCAGGCGGAACATTAGTTATTGGTTTACTCGTAGTCGAAGTAGTGGTCAACCAAGTGTTTATCCATTCCAGGATGCCTTTCTCCTGACCACTTGGGCCACTCGGGCCGCCCTTTACATTGACAGAGTAACAGCTCGCCACGCCTACCAGACCAATGAGTACTAGCCAACGCATAGTGCCTGAAATTAACAATTATAATAAAAAAAAACAATCTCCTGACTCTGGTATTGTCACATGCATTTCTCATATAGTTAGCTGTAAATAAATGTAATTAAATCTGCAAATATTTATATCTCAAATCAAGGACACAAAGCCGGTTCAAACTGGTCGATGTCCACATCTTTTTAATACCGTTAATCGATTATTCATTTCTTATCAATTAAACATGTTTTAAGACGTAAACTGAATATAGGTATTATTATTATTATTATACGATGAACATTAAAAAGCTTTTTGCTCATTATATCCTAATTTTGTCAATTATATCCTAAGAAGAAAATGCACTTTCTACTGTAACATTACTATAATGATATATACTATAGCAAAATAAATACAGTGTAAGCTCTTATTAACATCATTCAGTACTCCTCTTGGTTGATTCCTCATACAAACTTTCATCCTCATTTTTGCCCCCTTAAGGAACTATTTCCGGGATAAAAACTATCCTATGTCCTTCCCAGGATCTCAAACTATCTTCTTATTAAATTTCATCTAAATCGGTTTAGTAGTTTTGGAGCCTATTCAGTATAAACTAACAAACAAAAAATCAAATATTTCGTCTTTGTAATATTCATATAGATAACGAAAATCTACCTAATAACGTAAAAAATACTTTTGTTGGTTTACCTTAAAGCACCCTTTCACTCTCAATCATAAAAAATGCGTTCATATTTAGACTTAGAAATATACATTGTATAGTAATTTATGGAGAAAAAAAATAAAGATGATGAAGTAGACAAGTCTGAACCACCACCAACTACTAAAAAAGCACTTATTATTTAATGAAGATCATCTACCATTTTCCAATACATAGATAAAATACAAAACTAACACTGATAAAGTAAAAAAATGTCAAAGTTAACAGACTACATGTATGTTTTTAGAATAACGTAATTAACTATTAAAACGAATAAATATTAAAAATTATAGTGATTACTAAAATTTGGTTATACTTCTTCAATACGATATAACAAAAACTCCATACTGAAATAGCTCTGTTATGAAGAAAAATGTTCGGCCCCCCGAGTTTACTTTGAGGTTATAACTTTACTCGTAATGGCATTTCATTTATTTAAGTTCGTTCGAATACAAAAAGAAAAATATATTAAAATTACATGAATTCTATTATATTAACATGAAAACGAAGTATTCGAAAAATATAAAATGCCAAACAAATTACATAAAATTATTATCCATGACGTCTATTGAGACGTCTTAGTCCAAGTAAAAGACTTCAACGCGTTATCAATACATAAAAAAATAAAGCTTCTTATTTTATCAAATATATTTATGATATTCGGGTATTTATCCAATTTTATTGACGATTATTCTTGAGGATGAATAGGATATGTAAATATAAACAAATTTCTAAATCTAATTACATATGCGTACCTCCTATATATTTATAAAGTCACGTCTTGGTTTTACTTGAACTTTGTTGAGGCATCGAAGTAATTTGGAATATTGCCAGAGTATAAATAAGTGTTGGAACCTAATGTTAACCGTACTTTGAAAACCCTAAATATTTAGTGAAACTAGCAGTAGACTTCATGCGCTACTAGAAGCCCTCGTGGACCGCTTGAAATGCAGAAATAACAATCACTATACGATCCACAAATAAATAAACCGGTAAAATGTTGTCTGAAAGCAGGACAGACTAAGAAATATATACAGATTCATAACATAAAGTAAAATTAAATAGTTTAAGTTACTTTTATTACACTTAATTAAGAACTTTAATTTTGACTTTAAACGTCAAAAATGACAAAAAATATTAAAAACTATAATTTTCCTCAAACTGATTTTTAGGAAGAAAATGGTAATTATATATTAGTGTAGTACAGGTGGTATAGCTTCTCTGTCTGCGGTAAAGATTATTTTCGCGCTAAAAATATTAGTGGGTATAAATTTAATTTAGTTTAACAATTTTTTATTTACAGGTTAAAAGTTATAGAAAATTAAATTTTACTTTGACTGAATTTAAAAGGGGAAAGACACAATTGTCAATTTGTGTTTGCAATCTTTGTGATATAAGTTGTAAATAATTATCGTATTAAAAAATTCGTTCTAAATCTACCTAAAGCAAACATACCTAGCCTTAGTTATATAAAACTATTATTTAATTTATATATTAGTGATTTATTAATAACGTTTTGCAAATGTTTTTGTTTATATCGAAGGTAGCCACGTGATTCGTATGAAAATATATCACGTCCCGATTTGTATGCGTTTCACACCCAGCGGCTCGTTCTAGGAGAGAGCTGGTTTTCCTGTTCCCTATCATGTACCATAGAAAGTATAGTTGTTAGTTGCAAATATGCACTTATTTAGAATATATTTCGATTTTTTTTCTTAAAATGTTAGATATTTTAAATAAATAAGCTTATTACTATTTTCTAGTTACTTTTACTAGTTACAAATTAGTATGAATAAATTTAGCAGTTAATTAAGGATAATTATTTTTCTTATGACTCCATTTTAACATAACGGTTATTGATTATTTTGATTTATACGTTGTCGTGATATGTAAATTATTTAAAATATGGTGATAATATGTGAAATATAATTTAAGATCTTGATTAATTAATTATGCAAAAGTTTTAATTATTATGCATTTAAATAAAACGTGATGTAAATATTCAAAATCATAAACAAAAATGTAAAACATAACTATATACTCATAATCCTGTGCAAATAAAGGTCCTGTATATATTCAAAATGAGTAAGAAAATGATACACTCATACCGACCCCTAAGAGCGACAACACACCACTATAAAATCTAAAGTATCATTCAAATGTCTTCAAAAATACACGTCTACTAAACTTTTTAATTAACATAATAATGATAATAAATAGCGCAAATTTACTTACAAGCAAGTTCGCGTTGCGTTACAAGAAGTGACCACGAGCGGTCACCTGCGAATCCAAACGGCACCTACAGACGACAGAGAAAAAAGTATCTCCTTACTTTCACTCGCCCACTTAGTCCTGGCTACTGGCCATGCGACAAACTAACACACCGTTTTATCCTATGAATCGCCATAAATACAATACAGTTATTTGCACAAGGTAATTTCAGCGGAATTGTTATCGGTTAATTCTGTTATTACCATTTTTCCTTTTCATGTGGGACGATAATCTCAAACATGCGATGATTGTATGTTTTGTTACAATTTAATCTCTATTACCTATTTCAATTTGCTAGAGATTGCTCATTGCAGTCTATATGCCTTTCTATAGTTTTGAGCATCGGTAAGGTTCGATGTTCGTTTACGAGTTAGATAGTCGTTATTTGAATGCTTGTGGCAATGTCATTTCTTTTATAAAGTAAATAATATGTCTTTATTATAAAGATAAGAAAAATTAACATAAGAAGTATATTAAAGATTCCTATTGGGTACAATATTAAATTTATAATATCTGCTTTCTTACAAATAGGGGTGAAATACTGAGGTTTGTTTATGTCTAAATTATTTATGATTTGCAATTTAGACATGATCTTTGTCTTACATATGTAAGGCAATATAAATATCTATGTTATATATGTAAATGCGAGACATTTACATATACTTATAACATCATCAACATTTTATTTAGATATATTAAAACTACAATCAATAAAATCAAGCTTTGTTTTTTATGTTTAGGAATTATTTAAGTTATTTTTTTATCTCGTCTTTATATGGCCATAAACATCTATACTTATATATGTATACACATAAATACATATAGGTGTACGTACACATATGAATATGCAGACTACAAATTGTTTTGTATCGCCTGATTGAACTTTATTTATATTGTGTGAATTGGCAACTTTGCTTTTACCAATCATTTCTTTCAAATGCATAGTTAGTAAATATTTAAGCCTTTAATTCTAGGCGAGAATGCGAGCGATGGCCTTCAATGCTACAGGATCAGGCCAAAGTTTTCCTCTCATCTTTCTAAAAATATACACTTGTAGACATTTAGATTTCTTCAATATGTTTTTCTTCGCCGTAACGCCGTAATAATAGCAATTAGCAAATGATACCCATGTTGTAAACGATTCGCACATACAAAATCTTAGAAAGGTGCGATACTGAGGCTTGAATCCGTTTGACAGAAACAGACGCATTATCGATATAAAATGGAATGAAATGAAAATTAAGAAAAATATATTCTAATATGTAGACTCATTCAAGCATGAACCACTTTCGAATTGTCAGTAAGCACTCACGCTGCCTGCCTACTGCAGTTTGTAAAAAAAAATAAAAAATAAAAAAATGTAATTCGTATGTTGCTTATTTAAGCAGATGGAAACTAAACTATGTGAGTCAAAGAATATGATGTAATTTATGTAAAATGATAAGCTCTAGGAAAATTATTGACATCAGGATAAAATACTAATAATATTAAAATTATTACAAAAAATATAACCATTTTTATATATTGCGTTCAAATTGTCATGTGTTTTAACTCTATCTCTACACTTCAACTTATGTAGTAGGTAAAGCCTGTATGTTATAAAGAGGCAATGTCGCAGATTGATTTATTAGAGATTTTATTTGTAAACAATATCTAATGTTACGTTAGTATTAAAATATTCTATTCATTTTTAAGTTATTGTTACAGAAAACAATTAATTCTTAAAGTCGTTCTTATTTTTTTTTATTCTTCTTTAATATCTACATTAAGTATATTGAATACATGAATATATTATTTTATTTTTTATTAGTGATTTTATTAACAACGAGTTATTTTAACTAAAAAAATACACTGAAATGTAAGTAATTAAGTAGTTTTTATTTTAATTTAAATAGGACCTCACAATCTACCACACTCGTCAAGTGCGGATTCGGCGGACTTCACATGTCTTTCAAAAACTTGCTAGGTTCTCTCAGATATGCATGTTTCCTCACGTTTTCCTTCACCGTAAGATAAGTGATAATCATGTTGAAAATGATTCGCATATGAAAATATAAGAGGTGCGAGACGCGATTTGAACCCGCATCACTTGGTTTTTCAAGCAAGCGCATTACCACTGGGCTACCGTTGCTTTTTGACCTGTATGTATGTTTTGTTTGTTCGGTCCTATGTTCCTTTGTAACTCCTAAACAGCTGAAACAATTTTGATGAATAGTACGTCGCGTCATTAGATTCGAGTATCAAAGCTTATAAAAAATTATAAAATAACAACTTATAATGACTGCATAATACTATGTTTCTGCATCATCTTGTTTTTATCATTTTAGTTCACATATTCTGCAGTCGAGTTGTATATTTTGTTAAATTATTTAGACTTAACATAATAAGTACTCGCTAAAGAACGATGAATTTACATTTCGCGCGTGGCCACTGTACGTTTGTCAATATTATTAACGTGAAAGTGTTTGTCGATATCTGAATTGGTCAATTTTCACACACCATAACGAGGAATCTGTATAATATTTTTTGTGCAGAATTAGTGTAGGTATAATTCAGGGAATGCAAAATATGATCTTATAGACAGAATAGTCAAATATTTCCTAGAGTATTACAGTGTACGAGGGACCTGACAGTGAGAGCAGATAGCTTATGCTTAGTCGATCCAAACATTCGTATTGAGATCACGACCTCCAGTATAGTACATAGTACCAGTATTGCACGAGTATTGATACAAATGGTCCTCAACATACATACATACACATACATATATTTGTATATATTTTTACTCCATTTGCTTTGTAGGGATAATATACGATTTGATATTTAATAGGACTCGTTACTCTTCAAAAAAATTTTTTTTTAAATTACAGTATAAAATGTTAACATTTTGTCTGTGACGGAAAATGGAATAACGAGATTTGTTTTGACAATAAATACTTTTACAATCTCACCGAAATATGTAAATTAAAGACCATTTTCGATAATTTTCGTCTCTAAAGAAGTTGTCAGAGTCAAAATATGCAAATAAAGATTTCTATATAAGATAAGATTAACACTTTTCACAAATAAAAGCGTATAAATGTATTTATACAGTATCAGTTTTCGACATTGTTTATTATAAGAGAAATCAGCACACACTAGCCATACTATGTCAGACTTTTCGGAAACTCCTTTGGACATTATTCTTTTAAAAATAAAAACCGACTTCACACAAAAGCACTAAAAACTAAAAAATAACTGATTAGTAGTTTTCATTTACTATACATACCTAATCAAATATTTTCGAAGCCGGTGTGCTTTGCTTTGTATGGGCTGGCACCGATTTCGAAAATATTTGATTAGGTATGTATTTAATAGGTAGGTTTTAATTATCATTAGCTATTTTTCCACCCTTAGGGGTGGTAATTTTTTTTTGAAATTTAAATGGGACCAATCTGGAAGTATACCCTTACAAACAACACAAAAATTGTCCAAATCGGTTAATAAATGACGGAGTTCTGAGGTAACAAACATAAAAAAAAATACAGTCGAATTGAGAACCTCCTCCTTTTTAAAGTCGGTTAAAAAATAACTTCAAAGAAATGTTGAAAATATAAAATTACGATGCTATGACGCAGTGACTTCGTGCCTACGAATGCTCATTCATTTAACTCCAGAATAGGACGTATGTCAATCTCTTTAATTATTATTTTTGTAGCTCTTAGAAAAATAAAGATTATATGAAAATTACATATCTCAGTGTTTTGTGGACTATTGTAAAACTGCCTACTAGCAAAGCGTATTTGCGTGCGTTATTTCACGCACATCATAATAATATGTCATGTATATTGTGTATTAATAAAAATTAACGAAAAATACTTGTAAAAATAAAAATAATTTTATAATGATATCGAAAAGTATATTGCGACTCGGAGAATGTAAGGAAAATAAAACAATGAATAAAGTTGTTTTCAAGTTTTATAAGTTACACTGTACACACGTAAAAAGTACTTTCTTAAACATTTGAGATTACAAATTTAATAAAATAAATATAGCTTCACGCTGTACGGATTGTAATGTTATTACTCGTACTTATTCTCACTGATACTATTAAAGCTACAGACATGGATTATTGTTTATTTTTCTTTAATATTTTATTTTCAGTTTACAAAAATTTTACATTTACATAAAAATTGAAAGTACTGTCGCGATTGGTGACAAATGAAAAAAATAATTTGATAATTGTTAGAAAGACTAGTTTATTATACATAGATTGTTACAAGGTAATATATAATTCTTATATCACGTCTGACGTCCTATCGTCTGCTTGGAAAACCACGGAGCCTCCATAATGGCGGAAACGGAACAGGTTTTATACAGATTATAAACAATGTAAATAACGTGACGTTCGAAAACTTATGATTTGAAATCTAAATTGTTTGTATGTTAATATTGTAAATTAATAATTAACAATACAAAAAATATAACAAATTAGGAAAACTTAAACTAAAACCAGATAATACGAATAGTTCAGTCCTTTTTAGTGCGATAATCAACAGTTGGCTACTCTAGCCAATTGTAGCAAACTTCACACTTTTGAATAACTTTTTATTATTTTATTTTAATATTTTCGCACCGCTTAATAATTATGTAGTTTTTATTTGTAAATAGGCACAAGCAACTCCCGGTTTTGATATATTTGATATCGCATGATTCATGTGATCACCTATTCAGTTCCAATTAATTTTTGGCAAATCTATACTATTATTACAAAGAGGTAAAGTTTGTGAGTTTGTGAACTTGTGACGTTGTAGGGGGTAATCTCTAGATCTACTAAATCGATTTAGATGAAATTTAGTAAGAAGATAGTTTAAGACCTTGGAAAGGAGATAGGATACTTTTTATCTCGGAAATCATCCCTTAAGGGAATGAAAATGGAGATGAAAGTTTGTATGGGGAAGCAAGCTAGGGACGAACCCGGGCGAAGCGAAGGTGAGTCGCTAGTTTATACTATATATATATATATATATATATATATATATATATATATATATATATATATACACAAATTCTTGTTTTAATTGAAAAAAAAACGGATTTCCTTAATTTTTTTATTGGCATTTGTTTGTTGATATTTTAATTTACCTCAATTTCATGCAACAATGCATCTATATATGATGATGTATGTATATATATATATATAAGTTGCCCTAAATCAAAAAAGGTT